CACTTTAGATATGTTTAAGCAATTAGGCATTGTGATTGACTTTTGTCGGTTAAGTATGGATATTAGCATTAATCACTCACATATGAATATAGATTCATCCCACGGAGAGACTTCACGCTGGCAGTAGGCAGAGGTTTCGTACCATATCTTCTCATTAGCTGTGCGTTTAAATCTTTTGCAGGAGGGGAGGGGCCCATGAAACGTAGTTGGGAAGTAGTATTTAAGTGTCTCATTATACTGACTTCTGTGTTGATGAATTTAAAATGAGATTTTGGGAATTACAAGGTAATCAGTGAACATTATTGCCTTCATTATTTTTTATTTCTTTAGCTGCATATGAAAACGTGGGGTTTCTTTTTTAGGCAATTAATTCTTTCTTTTCTTTTTTTAAAAGAAAGATTAAAAACTTAGAATTTAGTGCCTGGTAGAGGAAGAATTGGTAAATGTTGATGAAGTGTCTCCCCCCCCCTTCTCATGAGATACTGTTGGATTTGAATTTGGGTTTCTTTATAGACATTTAATTCAGTATTGTATAAGTTACAAGGGGAACCCGTTGTTATAATTGTTGTTGCTCAGTCACACAGTCGAGTCCGACTCTTCACAACCCCATGGACCAGATCACGCCAGGCCCTCCTGTCTTCTGCCATCCTCTGAAGTTGGCTCAATTTCATGTTCGTTGCATCAGTGACACTGTCTAACCATCTCATCCTTTGCCGTCCCCTTCTTCTTTGATCTTCAGTCTTTCCCAGCATCAGGGCCTTCTGCAGTGAGTGCTCCCTTCTCATTTGGTGGCCAAAGTATTTGAGCTTCAGTTTCATTATCTGGCCTTCCAGGGAACAGTCAGGGTTGATTTCTTTTAGGAGTGACTGATTTGATCTCCTTGCAGTCCAAGGGACTCTCAAGAGTCTTCTCCAGCACCATAGTTCAAAAGAATCTATTCTTCGGCGCTCGGCCTTCCTTATAGTCCAACTCTCGCAGCCATACATGACTACTGGGAATACCATTGCTTTGACCATGCGGACTTTTGTTGGCAGGGTGATGTCTCTACTTTTTATCATGCTGTTTAGGTTCCCCAGCATTGTTGCTTGCTTTCTTGCATAACAAACCAGAATTCCAAATGATATGTTAATCCTGGTTTGGATGTCTGATGTCTGATTCTGACATCATGTCCAGTGACCATGAAGTCTTCAATGATTGTCAGGAATAGTAGAGATTACAGTGGTCAGTGAATAATAAATATTTTAGAGGCTATGCATCAACTTTAGAGGCCATAGGCTCCAACAGACCTATGCTTATGGGAAGTGGAGGAGATAGAATAAGTGCCAGGTGGTTTCTACTAATTGAAAGACACTGATCTTGTGTGAGCAGAAAGTGTCTAATGCAGGGGGAATGTAATCTGCAATGGAGGGTCACATCCACATTGGCAAATGGCACAGCAGATGGTATAACACCAAGCCAGAATGTTATATTCTGCTAAGGACGTAATACCATCCCATGACCTAAAATATTTAGATGGAGAAAGGAATCTAGGAGACAGAAATGAAAAATAGATTCCAATAATGGGTGACTGCAATAAAACTCATAGCAACTGCTGTCATTGAAATGTACTTTTATTGGGTAAGTTTACATTCAGGTTATAGCAAATAAGTTTTTGGGTCTGAAAGTTGACTATGCTTTATTGGGATCGGGAATCAGGCTCCTGGTCTTTGGTGTGGTCCCATTGGTGCCAGTGCTGAGTGTAAGGAGTCTTGGGGTGTTGCTGGATTCCTCATTTACTGTGTAGGCCCAGGTCACTTGGGTCACCAGATTGGCCTTCTATCATCTTTGGCTAATCAGGCAACTGGTTCCTTATCTTGCCTCCCCAGGACTTAGCTACAGTGATCCATGCAATAGTCACTTCCAGGCTTAGATTACTGTAAAACATTCTACTCAGGGCTATCCTTGAGCCTGATCCAGAAATTGCAGCTAGTGCAGAATGCAGCAGCACACCTGCTGATAGTAATGCCTGCACAGGTGCACATTCAGCTGGAGTCGCACCAGCTGCACTGGCTGCCGATCGAATACAAGATCTGGTTCAAAGTTATGGTTTTGACCTTTAAAGCCCTATGCAGCCTGGGGCCATCATAGCTGCAGGACTGCCTCTCCCCATATGAGCCCTAGAGAGAGTGCTCTCTCTCTCTCTCCCCCCCCTCTCTCTCTCCCCCCCCTCTCTCTCCCTCTCTCTCTCACACACACACACCCCGCCCTCCCCACTGGAACAGGCTCAGGACAGCTTACATTAAAATTATGCTCTTCTGACGTCCCAGGGGACATGTGCGTAGCCTTAACCAAGGCAAGGGCTTTTTCAGCTCTTGCCCTGACCTGGTGGAATATGTTCCCATTTGAGATCAGGGCCCTGTGGGACCACTTACAGTTCCACAGTGCTTGTAAAATGGAGCTGTTCCTCCAGGGCTTTGGTTGAGGTGGCAGGCATTGAACCATTGCGGCCCCCTGTCCATGACCCTGACCATGACACCTTTCCCAGTGCCCTTGCTGTTCTGCACATTACTTGGGGACTGGAATTTCTTGGGGCATGGGTTTTGGTTTTATCTGCTGCTGTTATTGTTTTATTGTTTTATTGTTTCTATTATTTGTTGGTTTTATGTTGTGAGCTGCCCTGAACCCACTCCTGGAGTAGGGCAGGGTATAAATATACTACTACTACCACCACCACCACTACTACTGTTAGATGTTGACCACAAATTTAGTATGTATATATGTGGAAGGTAATCCAGAAAAACAGTTCTGTTGCATTTGATTTCAAAAGAGGAAACTTCTCAATAATTTACTTCAAAAACAGACCAATATTTATTTAAATATATCAGAAGTAGGAAATCAGCAAGTGAGGTAGTTGAGCTGTTGAATGACAGAGTTATGGAGGGTTATTGAGGGAGGATAGGGCAGTTACATAGAAGTGGAATTAATTATTTGTATCAGACTTCTCTATGACTGAAGGTGAACTTCGTTTCTTGTTACTTCTAGGTCCAAGGCTAATGGACAAATCACAAATGAACACATCACTGATTGTAGATGACATACACTGGAGTTCTTTAAGATCTCAGATTTTGGTTTGCCCATTTGAGTTCAAGATCTCTCATTGAGCTTAAGTGTGAAATCATTCTAAAGAAATGGAGCTTAAAGTTAGAAGATAAGAAAATGGGCAGTTTAACAGAAGTTTATAAAACATACCTTCTGAAATGCCACTGAAATGTTGCCCCCAAAGTCTGCTGACTTGGGGAACCAGCGTTTGGTGAATACACACACCAGATCTGTATTAAGGGAGCTTTGCCTCTCAAAAGCATATACCCTAAAAATCTTATTGGTCTCTTAATGTGCTACTGGACTCGAATTGAACTGTTCTACTGCACACCAACACAGCTACCCTCTGAAAAGGTCTGTATTTGGCTCTGAAATTATGCAATTCAGGTTTACAGTCATGTTTCTTGTAATACCCACTGAAGCAGATAAACTGTGTGCTATGATCTAAGAAATAATAGATATTTCATGATATATGTGCCTAATTATTTTTCCCCTCAATTTTTATATTACATTCTGCCTCATTAGCGGAAAATGTATCTTTCCTAATGTGTTTTCATTCTCAGAACATCTTGGAATGTAATAAAAACGTATGGCATTTTAAGCAGGGAAAAGAGACAGTATAATGAAAGTAAAATGCATTTTTCATTTTTACTTATTTTTCCTGTTTCCCAGTAGTATGCTTGAGAACGTGCCGCGTTCTGTGTTCTCTTGGGTGCTGCTTGATGCCAAAGAGGTTTTAAAGACAGGAAATCATGCTGCTAAACAAATATTCAACATTGCAATATCCTTAGACTGTATAAACCCCTCATGGCTGAGATCATTGGTCCTCTGTTGGTTCTGTGCCAGCCATAACAAGCATTGCAGACCTGATTGAGACTCCTGAATGTTACTGTGCAAAATGCCTGAGAAAACATTGTGTTCCATTACTGTCGCTGTGTAGGTAGAGGTATCTTTGTCCCATGCCTAATATCTGTGGTACACATGTCAGCATCTTGTGCAGTATCAAGAGCTTTCATTGAAAAGTTGAAGGTTTTTTTAGCTGGGTCCTTACAGTTCCATTAATAGTGTGCAGTGTTCATGTTGACCTGATACTGTTCTTCATATCCTGACAGAAAGGGTCACTAACATTCCTAACACTGAAGGTCTGGATCATACATTCAGGCAGGATACTGTCTTGGGACAGTGGCATGGACACCATGCTTTTCACCATGCAGCATGAACATCAGATTCTTCAGAAGCTTGTTTTGAACAATTCCCTCTCTTCTGTTTTTTTTAAGAGAGACGGAAGATTATGCAAAGTGTTCAGAATGCTTTAGATATTCCAGTAATCCTTTTTAATTTTATAAACAGATATAAAGTTATAAATATGCAAACTGCATAAATACATCAAAGCATCCAATAGGGATGGGGGGGAACCTGAAATGTAAAAGCTATAGCATGTACTAAGCACAAAGTGCTTGATTAACACCTAATCTATAGGTTTGATTCCAATAACTAACAAATGGATACCATTTTTAAAACATATTCTTGCCTGTTACAGTTCTTTTTCCCATAGATACTTAACAGCTGTTGTTTTATTCACAAGCTTCACATGCCATGTTTTCTTACGCCATTCATGCATACTCAGTAATCCTTATCTAGGTGAAAGGGTTATCCATTGATGTTTAGAAGCAAAACACCTTATTTGAAATGTAAAATCCAGAGAGATTGCAAAATTCTTTTTTCTTCCTTCAAATAAATGCTATAGAAACAGCACTCAGGGGTGCTTTAGGTATGAATTACCTTTCCTTGTGCCAGTGGGTTGGAATAGATAACTCAGCGGAGTCCTTTCCAGTTCTGTAACGTCATGCTGTTTTAAAATATGTATTTCTACTTATAGGGGAAAAAAATACCTTCAATCTTAGTTTCTTTTATCTCTTCAGATATGCCTCTTCACGTCCGGCGCAGCAGCGACCCTGCATTAGTTGGTCTCTCAACATCCGTCAGTGAGAACAATTTTGTTTCAGAAGAGCCTTCACGAAAAAACCCCACAAGATGGTCTACGACAGCAGGCTTCCTCAAGCAGAATGCTCCTGGGGGTCCCAGAAGTCACGAAAGAAAGGTATTATTCTTTTCCACAACACAGAAGAAAAAGACATTTTTAGCATTATTGCTTCATTGCAAAGCCCGCAGTTGGGAAAATATCATTTTTCTTGTTTTATGTTTGTGTTTTCAATCCAGAGTCCACACTGCCAGTTTTAAAGTGGCTTAAAGGTTGACATGAAAACAAAAGCATTCTCAGACTCCAATAATGCTCTCCTAGACCAATAGCATATATGGATATCCTCATTTTCAGAGATACTCATGTACAAACACATGAAGTGGCCTTGTACTAAGTCAGACCATTGGTCTTTCAAGTAATGTGTGCTCTTTTTCACATTGTCTACTGGCCGGTCCCTTTATCTAGAGAAGCTGGGGATTGAAATGCATGTTGAAATGCATGTTTTATGGCTATCTGCCCAGTGATTAGTTGCTCTTTGAAGTCAGACAACTCTGAAAAATGATGAAGGATAGTGGGCTGGCATCAGGAAACATCTTTCAACAACATAATCCCTACATGAGTCTCAATTCCTTTTCAGGTGACGTTTTCAAGAAAATGAACATTCATGGGGGTGAAAGGAGGGAGTGGGATCATGATAGCAAGGGGCTACCCTTTGCATTTTCAATAAGAAATGCGCATAGGTTCTGTGCACATTTGTATATTTCTCTGTGTGACTGGGAACCCTGAAAACAGGCTCCCCAGCATTGGAAGGAGAATTCTGTGTACGTATACTTGCATATGTGTAGGACCGATACGCATTATACCGATGTATGCTTTCCAGTAAATGAGCATGGGTCATGCAAAGAGCTTGTCAATCCTGCTATGTGCATGGGTGTTAATTTTACCTGAAAAACTGAAATGCCTTGTCCTCTCACTCCTGTTCTGTAGTCACTCACAGTTCAACTCATATTTTTCTTTTCACCAGTGAACATGAGATTTAACAAAAATATGGTCTTTGTAGTGCAGACGTTGACCATTTTCTGTTTAATATGGTATCACTTTGTTCATTTCATTAGCCTCTGGAGTTATGAAGGGGTCTTCCATGACTCACATTCATTTCAAGTGCTCCAATTGATAGCCAGCACAGGATTGGCTCTTCACAATGCTTATTTGGTGGCCCTGCGTTTTATAGGTGACAAAAATCAACACTGGTGGATAGATGTGGATTTCCTGAGTGTGATTCTTCACAACTGTCTACCATATATGATTGCCTGCTAGAATCACATCTTCTGTAGCAACAGAGGAAATATGACAAAGGTCAGCAGGTGGAGGCTTATGGGTCAAATAAGATGCCTCTTGGCCCTGTGGTTGCCAAAATGGATTCTGAACTGGTGTGCTGAAAGTGTTATCAGTGGTAACAAAACTTACTGGTGGTTGACTATAGGAAGTGAGAGTTGACCAGCTGGCCCACCAGCCTCCCGAATTTTTCAAAGTTGTCCCATTCTGAAGAAGGGCAATTGCTGCTTTGGATCATGGGAGGTAAACATTGGTTGGATTAGATCTGACATCTGTATTACTTGCTTATTTTGTATTGGTGGACAACCTGATTACTGTTTGGGCCTCAGTATATGTAAATATAAGTGTAGGCCCTGGTTTAGGGTTGCCAGGTCCCCTCGCCGTCATGGCGGGGGGAGTTGGATGGCATTCTGGGGGTGGGAGGGACATTGTCAGGTGATGTCCTGGTCTGATGATGTCACCTGTAAGTGATGTCATTATGTCAGTGATGCCGCACATGACACCCTGATTTTGGGGCAAAAACTATATATTTTTTAACTTCAAAACCATAGAGTTTGGTCCAAAACCAGAGCATTGGCACACACTGTCAACAGCATGATGAAGTTACTTCTGGGTGATGTCATTTTGTTGGGGACGTTGCCCAATGATTCCCCTATTTGGGGGTGGGTAAACTCCGCTGGGACCTGGGGGCTAGCAACCCTACCCTGGTTTGTGGCATTGGGGTTTTTCTTTGTTTTTAAAATCGCTATTTCATTGTAGCTGCTTGTATGAACCCTGGTCTTTGAGAATGTCTGTCAGCAGCAGGCCATGATATCTCTTGGTTCTCCCATTTTAGTATAACACACAGCGGTTCACAGTCTTCTCTTAGAGAACTGTAAGCTTCTCAAACACCAAGGAAAAGCATGCAAAGCATTCCATCATATTAAGTTCCAAGACAGTGATTCACAATGTGTAGTATTTTTTCCTGTAATCCCCCCCCCCGAATTCAATATCTCCACATGAGTAAGGCTGGTGACTAAAGAAATCAGCATGAAGCTTGTTTTCCTATATACCTTTATTCTTAAACAGAGGATTTTAAAGGCATTTCCCCCAGTTTTGTTTAGTCCCCTTGCTTTGCTTCTTCTGACCTAATTCTGATGTGAAAATACTTTTTTAAAATAAAAAGAGGTTGATATTGCTTCATCTTCAAAGAAATCAATTCCAGATTCATGCTTTTGCTTCTTAGTCAATGGTGGGAGGTCTTTATTTTTACTTATTCAGAAAGTTTTTTAATCTATATATTATATTTATAAACTTGCTTTATCTTGTGGATTCGAGGTGTCATTATTTTGTGGGTTCAGGGTATTATTCTAATGTTACCAATCTCCGCCTTTGTCTTTAAGTGTTAGATCAGTGATACTCCCTCTGCGGCTTGTAGAGAGCCACATTCACAGTTTCCATTAACCCAAAGAGGCACATCTACTTCCATCACTGGTGTGAAGTCTGCACCTCAGGGAGGCAGCTCCGGTGGCTATTTCAAGGTGGAAACTACTTGCCAATCAGAAGCCTTGCTGGGCTAGGACCTTGTACATTTTTATGAAACACAGAGCAGGGGGCACACTGGGGAACAGTACTTAGAAGAGCAACAAGTGGCATGTCAAAGACTCACTTGTGGCTCTAGAGCTACTATCAGTATATTATGTTTAAGTGACTTAAGGACAATATGCTAAAATCGGTGGTGATGCTCAAATCTGTATCCCTAGCTCTGTCCGCCACACTGTTCTACCTTGTCAGAAACATATATCCTTCCAACCAAGCCCTACCTTAGATCCTCACACATTAATATTGAATGTTTGACCAAGGTTATCTTTCCTGAAAGACACTACTGAACCCAACCTCTGGGTCTGCATCTAATGGACTTGTTCGTGATTGGTAGGGATCCAGTTTCATGGTTTGGATTCACTACAGTAAATCCTTCTAATCTGCTTCTTCTTAGTATTTTCTTTTCCCAGAATAGAGCATGCCCTTCTTCTGTTGCTATAATGTACACTCAGTTTGAGTTCCCCTCACATTCTCTGTCCCAAATATAATCACATGCCTAAGCTGGTTTAGTGGGAGTATTATTTATATTCCACAGATCCCCCTGAGAAAGCTCAATGTGAAACTCAATGCAAAAGCTCAATATTAATATTTTGAATAAAAATTTCTTCCCATTGCACCATTGTTTTTTCTTCATGTCTGGATGGTACAATGCATGGCAGATTGCTTGCTATCATTATCTGTTGCAATCAGTACAATAGAAATACTGCAAGTGTAAAGTCCATTTGTAGGGCTTTTAATGGGATTTAGGAAGTATGCATTTTTAGAGTGGAGTGGGGTTATATGGGGTTTTATCATATTCTGTGCAATGTAAATTTGAATTTATAATCTCTCCTGAGCTTTGGTAAAGGCAGGGTATTTCAATTAATACATAAATTGTTTGTGTTGTGGTGTGCCTAGGCTGTTGGGTTTGGAGAAGCCCTGCCTCGAAGCACCTGATTTATCCCAGACATCATTTTTTCAGTCCTTTTAAGATTATTGGAATAACCCAACCGATACCAGCCTGCACTAGTTTAAGAAAGGTGATGGATAAATATTTCTTGGCATGCAATAAACCAGTTAGGTTAATAAGGATCTAATCTGAAGACTGGTGGCCTTGGAAACCTTTTCATTAATTTTGAATGAACAAAGAAATAAAGGATGCTCAAATCTAGTAAGTCTGGTGTATTGGAAGTAATGCAGTATATGCAGTATAGAAATTTAAGTGTAAACAGCTCTGTGAGGGATGGTACTTAGCATGGAGCAACTACATATGAGAGTTTCCAGTTACTATTTGTTGGCGATTAAGCAACATCTGTCTTAAACGTAGGCTCCCATCTCTTTGCATCATTAGCTGTTGAGCATGTACTTACTCTTGATTTTACTGAAAATATTTGAAGTGCACTGAAGCATCACATCGCTGGAAATGAGCAGGGTGACCAAGATGAAAAGGAATCCGATTGATCTAGCATAGTGATGGGAAACTCAAGCACAAGGGAACATTAAATCAGGAAAATGGGGAGGAGTAATGTAGGCGAGTACAACAGATATTGATAATGTATCTCTTCAACGTTTATTTTCCTACATGCCATCGGCATTAATCATTTGAATGATGGCAGTCCCTGGGAACTGTAGAATCTGACAGGCAGGTGTGTTACAAACATCTGGCAACCAATACAGAAGCAGCTGATGTCATCATTCACTTTCTGAAACTTAAAAAAAATGTTTATTTTCAGTTTCCATTGACTGATTTTGCCACTTTAATGTTATAGAAGACGTTCTGTAGAGAATGTTAGTTTGCTCTTCTGTACCAATAAGTGCTGTCAGTGCTCTTGCCCTTCAAATACAGATTTTGAATTCCTTGTCAACAAATTATTCAAGATAGACCAAGGACCAACATGTCAACAGCCCAGGCTCATGGGGGCCCCTTTAAATTTAGAGACCCAGTTTGGTGTAGTGGTTAAGTGTGCGGACTCTGATCTGGGAGAACCAGGTTTGATTCCCCACTCCTTCACTTGCACCTGCTGGATGACCTTGGGGAAGCCATAGTTCTGGCACAGCTGTTCTTGAAAAAGAGCAGTTTCTGTCAGAGCTCTCTCAGCCCCACCTACCTCACAAGGTGTCTGTTGTGGGGAGGGGAAGGGAAAGGAGCTTGTAAGCCGCTCTGAGACTCCTTTGGGTAGTGAAGGGCTGGGTATAAATCCAGTCACTTCTTTCTTCTTCTCTCT